ATTATTCTTTTTTTTTTTTTTTTTTTTTTTTTTTTTTTTTTTTTTCCGAGACAGGGTTTCTCCATAGCTTTTTTTTTTTGTTTCTGTCCTGGAACTAGCTCTTGTAGACCAGGCTGGCCTCGAACTCACAGAGATCCTCCTGCCTCTGCCTCCCGAGTGCTGGGATTAAAGGCGTGCGCCACCACCTCCGGCCAACTTGAGTCTTTAAGTGTCCTCAAATCCATGCTGACTTTTTCTTCGGGTCACTGGTTTACTGACTCACGTTCTTGGGTACTTCCTCAAGCCTTCTCTCCTGGAGTAGAGAGGACTATCGACTGCTCAGCCTGGTCTCAGGAAAGACATGGGGATCAGATCCTCTGGAATTGTGTTTACATACGGTTGTGGGCAACCATTGGGAGCTGGGAACCCAGGTCCTCCTCTGAACCATCTCTCCAGCCCTATTTATCTGTTCATTTAGTTTGTTAGTTATTTTGAGACAGGATCTCACAATGTAACTCTGGCGGGGCCTGAAATCCACTATCTAGACCAGGCTGTCCTCAAACTCACTTCTGGGCTCTTCTTCCTCAGCGCCAGCATTAAAGGCGCATGCCCTCACGTTCAACTCCTTTTATTTTTTAATTAGAGAAAGCAGATGTTGCTTAACAAAGTGTCCATGTTTATAACCTCGGGGAAAAGAAAGTCTCTTCCAACAGGGTACTACTCATAGACTGTCTCCAGGTGGTTGGGTTCTGTTGGGAAAGACCCCACCGGCCCACCCAACCCCACCCTGCACCTTTAGGTCTGAGACAGAGCTGGGCAGGGGTGCAGCGTGACTGACTTCCTCTCTGTTTTGATCCCCGCGGTGCACAATGTTTAGATCCCAAGGAAGGAGCCGGTGAACGGGACAGCCCAGCTCCCAGCACACCCGCATCAACCAATTTGTGTCCCAGCCACGAAGCTGTGGCAGCTCTGCCTGGTGCAGGCGCGACTCTAGGACCCAGAGGAAGCTACAAGGTAGCAGTGTCCCACACAATCAAGAACAGTGTTCTCAGGAAAGACGTGCGGGCAGCCGCGGTTCCCAGACACAGGAGGCTCCTGACCACCGGCCTGCGGCTGGACAGAATGTTCCTGCGAGGGAAAAGCCTGGCTTTGAGTTGTACAGGGGAGGAAAATTCCTACTGCGGTTGGGAGCCTCTCGCTCGGAACCAGGGTCTCGACTGACACCTAGCGGCCGACTTGCGGAAGAGGGACGGATGCCATGAAAGCGGATGCCACAAAAGCAAGCCCAGAGCTTTGGGTTCCCATGTCATCTTCTGGACCCGCCAGGTTCCCCTCCGCAGGGCCATCCTGAGGCTGGAGCCTCACAAAACCCTAAATGTTAGTGTCTTGACAGTAAAATCCCATCACTTTTGTCACAGCTCCAAATGATAGAGACGCAGTTAGAGGAAGAGATCAAGTCACGTACAGGACAGTGTGGACGCCCCGTGGGTCAGAGTCGGCCTAACCTGTGTGAGCAAGGCCTTTGAAGGCAGAGTCAGTAAAGAGACCCCGGAAGGCCTGAGACTGTGGGGGGTTTTGTTTGCTTTATTTTGCTTCAACTTCTAAAACTATTATTTCATTATTTTGTGTGTGTATATGTGTTTTGACTACATACATGAATGTCTGTGTACACAGAAGAGGGCATCTGATCTCTTAAAACTGGAGTTACAGATGATTGTGAACGGCCATGTGGATGCTGGGAACCGAACCCAGATCTTCTGTAAGAGCAGCCAGTGCTCTTGACTGCTGTGCTATCTCTCCAGTTCCTGTGTGTGTGTGTGTGTGTGTGTGTGTGTGTGTGTGTGTGTTAGAACTGAGCCCCAAGGCCCAGTGAATGCTGGCACCTTCTCTGTCCCTGAGTTATGAACTCACTCCCTAAAGCTGGAGACAGACCTGGGTTTTCAGAGCCCAACAGCCTTCATCCAAACCTGCACAGGCTTCTCTGCCTGGAACTCGGCCAGTCTCCTGGACTCTCTGAACAGCGGCTTCTGCCTCTCACCTCCTCTTTCGTCCTTCCTCTGTTTTGACAGGGGCCGCGCCTCCCATGAACGTTGTTGTACGGATTGGAGGTAATGTGTTCCGCGGTTTACTCAGGGTTTGGCACATAGTAAGCACTGGAGTCTCAGCTTGTACTGCCGTGAGTTAGACACAAGAGGGACTGGCACAGAGGCGCAGCCAGGAGCCAAGAGCGGCTCTAAGAGCCCAAGGCTCTGAGTCAGCCATCTTTGGTTTGAACTATTCTCGTATCACCAGACAAGCCACTTCCACCCCTGAGCCTCTTGAAAACGTAGTCAGCATGCTGTTCTAGACTCCAGAGGAATATTCGTCTATCCTGCAGGCACAGTAGATCCATCTGGGGGGCTCTAAACGCTCCAATGACAGAAGGGAATTTACCTCAGTGGGAGAGCAGGTGCCTGGCGCACACTGAAAACCCCAAACCCAAAACTAATTATTATATCACACTCCGTGCTAAAGCGGAGCCGCTGGGACCGGGGCCACGGGGGCTAGGCTTTCTGGAGCTTCCTACACGACTCTAAAGCACACCCAAGGCTGAGAACCAGCAGGCAGAGTTCTCTCTAAAGGCTCTCAAAGGACAGAAGAAAAACAATAATTATCTGTAATTATCAGAGATGTAGCCAAGTGTTGCGTGAGAAGTGTCAGGCACCTCACCAGGAGCTCTGGGTGTGCTGTGGGACACTTCCAGTTAGCCTAGGGGTGGGCGCTAAGTGTGGGTGTATTTGTGTGTGCACACCCATGTGCACACTGTGGTGCGTGTGTAGGGATCAGAGAGTGTGTATGGAGTCTTCTCTCTCCTTTCACCTGCACGAGGGTTCAGGGGATCACGTTCGGGGCCAGGCTTCGAGGCAAGTACCTTTCCACACCGAGCCAGGTCCTTGCCAGGTCTCTAAGTGTGGGAGCTCCCTATCTCGGGCCTCTGTGGCGCCCACATGGAAGTCAATTGCCATGCTCCGTTTTGTGTTGACATTTGTATTCTGTCTAGTCCTACTTGTTCGGGGTCAAATGTCAAGATCCTAAAACTTACAGGTGTGTGAAATATTCCTATGAACTTAGAGCAAAGTCTAATTCAGACCAGGTATTTCCAGATAAAATTCAGTTTCCACATATGGGCTATAACATACATTTTTATTAATTTTTCTGTTTTGCTTTTTTAAAAAAAGATTTATTTGTGTGTGTGTGTGTGTGTGTGTGTGTGTGTGTGTGCTTGAATGTCTGTGAGCACATGGGCCGTAGGAGTCCAGAAGAGGGATTGGGTGCCCTGCAGCTGGTGTTACAGGCGATGTGAGATGCCCAGTGTGAGTGCTAGGAACCAAACTCTGGTCTTCTACAAGTGCAGCAAACGCTCTAACTGCTGAGCCATCTATCCGGCCTCTTTGGGTTTTCTTGAAGCAAGAGCTTATGTGTCGCAGGTTGGCCTGGAATTCATTATGTAGACCAGGCTGACCTGGCGGCGTTCCTTTGGCCTCTGCCTCCTGAACACTGGGGCTATATCAGCCTTCAGCTTTGTATCACCACGCCCAGCTTATTAAGCATGTTTACACGGAAAACAACAAACAACAAAAAGCAAAAACTTTGTGTGGCCACTGAAGGAATGAGTACAAGGTGCTGCCACCTTGTGGCAGAATCTGCCACACACACGCAGTCCTGCCTAAGGTTGGCAGGCGGTTCAGCCCCAGGAGCCTGCCTCTCTGCCTTGTTTCTGCGGTCTTTCTAGCCTCAGCACTGTTTTGTTTATCCAAACATAAAACAAAACAAATTGATGTCAGCAGCGTGAGAACGATAAGAGACCAAGAGACGACGACTATGCCGCCCTTCCCTTGTGTTTACTAACGGTGGATGTGCCCGCTGTCAAGTTACTCTCTGAGGACTGAAATTTTATTATATCCGTGTCAGAGCTGGAGAGGTGGCTCAGAGGTCAAGAGCACCGGCTGCTCTTCCAGAGGTCCTGAGTTCAATTCCCAGCCACCACATGGTGGCTCACAGCCATCTGTACTGAGATCTGGTGTGTGTATATATAATAAATAAATGTGTGTGTAAGTGCACTAGTGCCACTGTGTGTGTGTGTGTGTGTGTGTGTGTGTGTGTGTGTGTAGGTTAAAGAACAATGTTTTGAGGCATTTCTCTCCTTTTTCTCGTGGATTATGGGAATCTCCCTGGGTCACCAGTTTACCAGTTTTGAGGCATTTACCTCGAAATTGAGCTATCTTGTGAACCCTGAGGATTTTTTCTTTGTTTGTTTTGTTTTAACGGAGGACGATACTTATCTCGTGGTATTGTGTGGTGTTTTTTTTTTTCTTTCTGTTTTTCTTTCTGAAATGCTGTGTGTCCCACCCAGGGCCCTATGCGTGTTGGGCGGGTGTTTTACCACCGAGCTGCGCCCCGGTCCTCATCGTGTTGCTGCGAAGGTAAAAGACGTGCGTGGAACTGGAAGATGGACAGCAGGCGATGGGTGAGACAAGCGCTCCCCCTTGGTCCTGTGCTGTCCCCGACCGATGTGAACACCTCCCGCTGGGCTGTGCTGAGGTGTCCAAGTGTGTCAGTGCCCCCAGGTTCTGCTCAAGCTCCACTCCTGACCCTTCCATGTGCTCCCGGGTGGACCACCGGGACCAGCTCTCCCTTGCTGCCCCCTGCCGACCAACCTCCTTCCTTCTGCTCCCTCCGCCTGGGGGCTCTGTGAGCTTGAAGCCAGCCTGGTCTACATAACAGTTCCAGGACAGCCAAAGTCACATAATAGAGAGACCCTGTCTCAAAAAAAAAAAAAAAAAAAAAAAAAAAAAAAAAATCAGAAAAATAATGATTGATTAGGGGCCAGAAAGACGGCTCAGTGGTTAGGTTACTCCTGTTCTTGCTGAGGATGTGGGTTTAATTCCCAGCACCCACACGGAGGTTTACAGCCATCCATAGCTGCAGTTCTTGGGGATCCGATGCATACACGCAGGCGAGCATTCACATACATAAAATAAAAGTAAATATTTTAAAGAAAAGTATCAGTATGTGTCTCATGGTGCCGGGCAGGTCGGTGTGCACGAGATACAGCAAAGTGTACCAAATGGAGCAGGTGAAAGCCAGTTTTACACAATGTGTGCTAACTCAGGCAGGGCGCAGCCTACTCTTGAAAGCCTACTTGGCTCTCATTGCTTAATTGAAACAATGTCCAAAGTTCATTTGATGACAATGTATGTGATGATCTTTAAACCCTAACAAAGTCCAAAAGACAGATTTCCTACATGGGTCTTCCTAGCAAAAGTGACACAGCAGGAAATGGATACATTCATAGAACTAATCTCCAGGGGACTGGGAAAGGGTTCCACTCCCAGGGTTGGTTTTAAAGTGACCTCTCCCAACAGCAGCAGCCAAGAAATGCCTTTTACTTACCTGCATTCTTTTGCTCAGGCAAAAGGAAAGAGACAGGGCTTCATTTCTCTACATGGTTTATAGTTTATGAAATAACCTTTTTTTTTCTATTGGAGCCACAGAATCTTAGCATTAACAGGAAATTCTCCTTCAAATTTGAGGCAATCCTCCTGCCTCAGCCACCAGCATGGTAGGGTAACAGGTGTGGGCTAACGTCTGGGAATTTTCATTATGGTTATAAAACTGCGCATTGGGATTGGGAAATAGATCTGAACTGTGGAGAAGCTCACCTCCGCCCACCATCCCCTACCCCGCTCAGCCCTGTGGACTGTGGATTTGTGGGTGATGGAGCCACATGAGACAAGACAGGTAGGATGGTGCTTAGCCACGCGGAACCTCCTGCCTAAGCCAAGCATGGAAACCTTGCCTCTGCTCGGAACACTGCTCAGTGCAGGGTCGGAGGACCGGAAGTTATCTTCCACTCCTCACTGTGGGCCGCCCAAGTCGGGGAGTTATCAGCGTGTGGTGTTGGCAAGGACCCTTGGACTCAGGCTGTTAAAATAACAAGTTTCAGTATCAAGACACCACTCACTAAGTACTTTTGCTCCGTGCTAAGGAGGGGTCCTGTTGTTAGCCGTGGGGGTGGGGAAGGGCTCTTTTCCAGAGGTCTGCCTGCTTTGGCTGAGATTAAGGAGTGTGCTACCACACCGCAAACCCGGGATTCTTCAGTGCGGAGAAGAATCTCAGGGTGAGAAGAGATTTTGTTTGCGCACGGACAGCAGTAGAAAGACACTCAGGGGAAAGGACAGTAGGCAACCACGTGTGGGTGTGGACGCCTCGGGAACACGTGTGGGCGTGGACGTCTCGGGAATTGTAGTTAAGTGGCTGAGTCACGGCTGCCTGTTGACTGTACAGGCTTTGGGGATTCCATTGCTCAAAATGTAAGGAAGGGCTCCTTCCTTACACACACCCGTCCTTTTTAATGGTTATAGAGTGGTTTGGGAGATGGCTTGGATAGGATTGCAATCTGATGAGGTCAAACCCTGGGTCACAAAGGTTATGCAAGGGAGATATGTCTTTCACTAGATAGATTTTTCTCTTGAGATCACCAGAAAAGTGTAGGTTTACAGCTGGGAAAAGAGAAAGATTACATCAGCTTAGTCCTTAACTACTGAGCACCCATATTTTATTTCTTTGTATTTTATTTTATTTGGTTTTTCGAGACAGGGTTTCTCTGTAACTTTGGAGCCTGTCCTGGAACGAGCTCTTGTAGACCAGGCTGGCTTCGAACTCACAGATGGAAATCTGGACTCTCAGTTGGTGTAGGATTTCCACTCCAGGCCAGCACCCTTCCCACAGCCCCTTAAACTCCCTTCTTTCCATCCTGCCTGGGGGCGACCCAGGAAGATGACCTCTCCAAGGTCCTTCCGGGTTTCCTTCCCACGCTGGATGCCAACGCAAATAAGCAAAAAATGACCTCTAAGAATTTTAATATTTCACGATGACGATCACAGAGGCATTAATTTAGAGGGCTTCAGGCCTGAGAACCCCCTACCCCCCCCCCCGCAGGCAAGATGCTTCAGCAGGCGGAGGTGCTTCCCGGGGAACCGAATTTGGTCCCTGGGACCCACCTGGTGCAAGGAGAGCGAGAAAACTACTGCAGGTGGTTCTGGGCCGCACAGGGGATGGGGCACACAGTGCCCCCATAAACGGATTTATATATACATACACAAACAAAAATAATAATTCAATGCACAGGATTAAAAATAAAAAACGAGAACCAACATTCAAAGTCTGGAAATAACGGTGATAGCTCAATAATAGTGTGAATATAATTAACAATAATTGCACATGTGAAATGTGTATGCATATACACACATATATGTATATACACACGTTTATACATACATACATGTGGAATATATACATACGCGTATATATTAAGTGTGCCATATATAATATAATAATATATATTAGATATATGTGATATATATTGCACACTTACAAGAAAGTTTTGGGGTAGGTGAAGAAAAGTCAAGGCTCCTACACCCTGTGGCACAGGTCAAACCTGGGTTCTCACGCCCACTCCCAGTTGATTACAGCACCTGCCCGGAGAGACAACTCCTCGCTCCTCAACCTCAGTCTCTCTGTGAGTGGTGGTTTCAAAGATGACCTTCGGGGCTGCGCAGAGTTCAGTTTCCAGAGGGCGCCAAGTTCAAGCTGGCGACCTCAGGCCCGGCGCCGGGCGCAGCGGGCGCTGCCATCGGTGGCGCGGGGGTCGCCTGGAGCCCTGAGCTAGGACGCCGCGCGCGTGCGCAGTGGTCTCGGGCTCAGCTGACCGTTGTCCCCTCCCCCCCCTCCGCCGCTGCCCAGGGACGGCTCCCCCGCCGCCTCGCCTGCCTCCTCCCGCCCCCCCTCCCCGGCTCGGATCACAGCTCCACAGCGCAGCCGGGGAGGGGAGGAGCCCTCCAGCGCAGAACCGGGGCCCTCGGCTCGGCCCGCCCAGAGGGGCGTGGGAGGGCGGGGCGGCGGACTTCGGACTCCAGCCCCCACGCTCGGCTTTCCCTGCCTCCCTCCGCTCTCCCCGGCCATCAGGGAGCCATGTCTGCGCTGCTGGGGCTCCGGCCCGAGGTGCAGGACACCTGCACCTCGCTGGGGCTGATGCTCTTGGTCGTTCTGCTCATGGGGCTGGCCCGCGTGATCGCCCGGAGACAGCGGCACAGGCCCACGGCCCACGCCTTCATCCTGGAGTTTCTAGCCACCTTCCAGCTCTGCTGCTGCACCCACGAGCTCCAACTGCTGAGTGAGCAGGAACCCGCGCACCCCACCTGGACGCTGACCCTCATCTACTTCTTTTCCTTGGTGCATGGCCTGACCCTGGTGGGCACAGCTAGCAACCCGTGCGGCGTGATGATGCAGATGATTCTGGGGGGTATGTCCCCGGAGTCGGGGGCCATGAGGTTGTTGGCTCAGCTGGTTAGCGCCCTGTGCAGCAGGTACTGCGTAAGCGCCCTGTGGAGCCTGAGTCTGACCAAGTACCACTTCAACGAGAGGAGCTTAGCTTGCAAGAATCCCATCCACACGGACATGTCCAAAGCGATCATCACAGAGGCCATCTGCTCCTTCATTTTCCACAGCGCTCTACTGCACTTCCAGGAGGTCCGAGCCAAGCTTCGCATCCACCTGCTGGCTGCACTCATCACCTTTTTGGCTTATGCAGGTTTGTCCTTCCCACAAAACACTAGGCTAGGCGATACCGAACCCCCATGACCGGAGGTTCCAAGTTCTTTACCGATACACTTGAGCCCCCTACTCCGATGTGATGGAATACTTGCACCCTTCCCCGGGCCCCTTATTATTCTGACCACCTTGCAGCAAGTGCCTAGCGGTTGGCGCCAACATACAGATCGTCATTCAGTGCTGTTTTGAACACCCAGAGAAAGCAGACACTCCGGTGCCGAAACTAAGATGTCGTTAGGTTACTGCCAAGGGCTTAGATAGCCTACAAGGGGCTGTTTTAATGTCAGAAAGGTAGCTTATCAGTTACGGCTTTCATGCCAAGCTGGTATAGATTGCTTTTGACACCCTTACTGAGAAATGATCCCGGCTAAAGTTCCTTCCAGCTTTAAGTGCATGGTTGGTCAGGAGTTAAGAGTGGGAACAGAAGTTCTGTATCGCGTTTCCTACAGACACTTGCTGTATTTCCTTTTGGAGAGTTTACACGGGAATTTTTAAAGTAACCTAGCATGAAAGGTGTGTTTCAAAATTATATTGTGCTCAAACACGCTCTTTAAAAACAAATAAGTCTCAGCTAGGTGTGGTGGCACGCTCCTTTAATCCCAGCACTCGGTAGCCAGAGGCCAGAAGGTAAAGGTAAATTCAAGGCCAGACGGTAGTAAATGCTGAAATCCTGTCTACAGAAAACAAAACAAAAACCAGAAAAAGATCTCCAGAAGTCCTATTTACTTATTTACCTTGAGAACCTCTGCTTTAATGATGAAATATGCCTTAGTGGGTCACTTAAAAGAATGAAATTCTTTACTGGGATTTAGTGGAATTATAAAAATGTTCTAGAGGCATGAATACACTGAAGGAGACTTATAGTAATAATAGTCTCTTCTCCCATTAAAGGTGGAGCCCTGGGAAATGGAGCTCAGGGGTAAAGAGCTCTTCCTAGCATTCGTCAGGCTCTGGGTTCAGTCCCCGGTGTGGCAAACAAAATTCCTTTAAACTGAGGAAAGTATACTTCAAATGTGTGTTTAACTTCCTAGGGTAAGATGAAAGACTACCCAATTTTCCCTTCTTTGAACCTAGTACTAGTTTCTTAGTAGACGCACATGGAAATCCATTGTGTGGGGGCACAGAAGAGGGCAGGTGCGTATCTGAGGGCTGGTGCATCAGCTTCAGCTAAAGCAGAAGCATTGCTATGTGTGAGCCGTGGTAGCCACAGTCTTGTATTTGCCAATTAAAGCAGCAAAGAGCCGGGCAGGTGATTCACATCCTTAATCCTAGTGCTGGAGAGGTAGAGGCAGGAGGATTAAGGTCATCTTCTGCTACGTGGTGGGTATGAGATCAGTCTCTAAAAACAAAAAATTTTGAGGTTTGTTTATAGTTATAAAAAAGAAAACCATTGCTGGGCGGTGGTGGCGCATGCCTTTAATCCCAGCACTTGGGAGGCAGAGGCAGGCGGATCTCTGTGAGTTCGAGGCCAGCCTGGTCTACAAGAGTGAGTTCCAGGACAGGTTCTAAAACTACAGAGAAGAAACCCTCTCAAAAAGCAAAAACAATAACAACAAAAAAAATAAAGCCATTCATGACTTCTAGGTCTTTCTCATTCCACCTCCTCACTCCCCCTGCCTCTGTTGACTGTTGTGGAGCTGGTGTTCTTTCTGTATTTTTATGTTTTTAGTACCAAGTTATGATTCGATAAATAGTATACATACTATTAACTGTTCTGGGCTCAGAATGTTCAAAGAAAGAATGCTGGCGCATGCACATGGCCCTGGTCTCACCCAGGGGTAAAAATGGCATTCCAAAGAGAAGGGGAGTGACACTTGGAAGTCATTCATGAGTAAAAAGCCAGTGGAGGACTCTAGAATGCCGTTTGGAGGGGTCTGAAACTCTGCCGGTTTCCTGAATGTGACTACTTACATTACCTGGGGGTAAACCAATCATCAGAGGGTCTCAACAATCTGTGTTAAGATCACCGGCGGTGTAAAAATATGCCCACCTGGCGCAGAGATCCGCCTCTCACTGCCCTGGGAAGGAGCTCCCAGTGGCGCGGGTTAAAGTTCTCCCCAGGTGATCCCATTACGAAACCACGGTTGTGAACGTCGCTCTGGAGTCCAGACCTGCCTTGGCCACCTCGGCAGCCGCTAGCTCCACGTGCCTGTGTAGATGAAAGTGTGGGCACCGCAGGCAGCAGGCCCATCGCACATCCGCTCACCGCACTGCACTGTAGCTGGTGGCTACTGCATTGGACGGGGCTTGAGACTCCAGGGCTGGAACCAAACACACAGCTAACTAGCTACATCAATTCAGTCTATCACAGATGTGTTTTTCCACTGTCTTCCTGCCAGTATAGGGGAGATAAGTCCCCCCAGGGTTCCTGATACAGACCAGATCACTTTGCTAAAGATTTATGAGTCATCTTAATTCTTACAATCATCCATGGCTGAGCACATCGCTATTATTCCAGAGTGAGTAAAACAAGTGACAGCCAGCAGTGAAATGCCTTGCCTCGGGCTGCAGACCGTCTAGGCTGGAACCATGGCTCACCCGGCTGAGCGTCGGGTAGCGCTCAGACCACTATCGCGCTTCCTCAGGAGTTACAAAGGCGCGCACGATCACGTACGGCTTGGGAATGAAGTTCTGAGGTAGCCAATGTGGAGGAACGTGACGTGAAGCCGAAGAAGCCAGGCACAAAAGGGCTAATACTGCGTGACTCTACTTCCAGGAAACACAATACAGACAAATTCCAAGAGTAAGGAAGTAAACAGAGACGACCAGAACAGGGGATGAGGAAAGAACGGGTAGGGGTGCATGATTGAGTAGGTGCGGGGTTTGTGTTTGAAGCAATGGAACGCTTTTTGGAAAGACTGGATCAGGGGTGTTGGTTGAGGCCTGTAACCTGGGGAAGCTAAGGCAAGAGGATGATAAATTCCGGTAAGCCTGAGCTACATAGTGAGTTTGAGGCCAGCCTAGGCTACACGAGATCCGATCATAAACAGGATGGAAAGGAAGAACACTGGAGAGACTTCAGGGGCTGGGATACTTCTGGGAAAAGACGGCGCGGCTGCAAATACCACGGACAGCAGATGGCAGGCTTTATGACGTATGTGCATGTGGGAATTTAACATTTTTAATTATTAAATGATTCTGTTGCCAATGAATCCTTAAACCCTGGGTTAAACAGGCTTCTAATTTTAAGGTCTTACAGAGACATGGCTTTGCTTCTATGCATTGTGAGACTCCAGTAGGAGGGTGTGGAACAGGCCTGAGGTCCTTTTATCCAGAGTGGGTGGCCCCAGAGAAGCAACCTTGGAAGAGGCCACACTTAGACTTATCACCACCAGGCCAGATGTCATCACTGTTCTACAGAGAATGTGCCTTGGACTAGGTGAATGTCTAGTGCGGATTTGAGCGCAGAGCTGCAGGCTCCTAGTGTTGTGTGTGGGGCTCAGTACCCCATTCTTATGGCTGGAGGCTCAGCCTACGCACTCTGAACTTTCACATGTGAGCAGAGAGGCCTCTTGTCATTACCACGTACATACTGCCTGGCTCTCGGCTTTCCTCACAAAAGAGAAAAGTTTTGTAGGTAAGCAGAGCCATCAACGGTCTTTTTTTTTAAAGACAGAGTCTTTTCTTGCTGTGTTGTTACCCAGGCTGCTCTCAAATGCCCACTTAATTGATCGTCCACCTCAGCTTCCGTTCTCTGAAAAGTTACATTTATTTATTTTGTATGTGTACGGAGGGGGGGGGTACTTGCTCTAGCCCCTATGTAGGCGGCCGAGGACAACTTGATAGTACCACATCTCCCCTTGATAGTACCACGTGGGTCCCTCGGGTTGTCCTCAGGTCGTCAAGCAAGTACCTTAAGCTTCGGAGCCACCTTGCTGGCCTCCACCTGTGCTTCCTGAACAGCTGGGGTCCCAGGTACGCAATGCCATGCCCGGAACTGCCGAGCTGTAAGCTACTGATGAAGGTAATGGAGAAATGCATTCACTCTCTGTGCATAATCAAGTATTTTAAAACATTAAGCATGTACGTTGTCTTTATTGCTGTAGTTTCTCATGTGTAGAATTTTAAACTATACGCTGTCTATGACATAATGCCCGTGTCCCCCTACACAGTAAGCTATGAGCAGAGCTCAGACATGCTCTCCAGATCTGGAGCTAGGACTCAGCAGATTATCACCGCACAAGCAGGCAGACTTTCTAACTTCTCCCGCCCCTCCCTGGAGAAACTGTAGTATTTTCACTTGACCCTTCATCACTTCTGGGTTTTAGTATCCGTCCAGCCGTGACTGCAGGTGAGATTATTTGTCCAACAAAAAAGAAACTAAGAGCTTAAATCTGTCTTCATTTAAAACAGGAACTAAATAAAATGAATACAATCACCAATTTCCAAATGAAAACTAAGTTTCCAGACAGGTGAGATAGCTCAGCGGGGAAAGATGCTTGCCACCAAACCTTACGACCTGCGTTTGATCCCTGGGACCCACGTGGTGGGAGGAAAACCACTCTGAAAGTTGTCCTCTGGCCACCACATAAATGCTGAGGTACCCAGGCGCATCCCCTCACCAGATCAACACAAACAAACCAAAAACTAGTTTAAACAAAGGTCCAAAATTTTTCATGACACTGGTCTAATTTTGTTGTTAAGAGGCCAGGTTGAGTTGGACCGTGTGCCCTTAGGTATTTGTGTCCTCAGTTTCCCCATCTTTAAGATGGATACTGCTATCTCAGCGGGTATGAGGAATCGCATTTCAAACTCACAGCTTGCTCCTGGCATAGACGAGGAAATGTGGCCTTTGTCCTTATTTCTCTGCCCTGCCATTTCCCACGGGTCTCCTCTATTGTGTGACCACGTTTGCAGGATTGCTAATCCACCTCACATTTCCTCTAGCCAGTAGCGCAGCATCAAGACCGCCCAGCACAGCCACCAGAGCCTGAGGAGAAATTCCTAGCTAGAATCCACCTGAGGCAGCACAGGACAACCCCTCTCTCCACCCCCAGGTGTGGGGTGCATACGCGAAGGACCCAGGTGTGGGGTGCATACGCGAAGGACCCAGGTGTGGGGTTGCATACGCGAAGGACCCAGGTGTGGGGGTGCATACGCGAAGGACCCAGGTGATGCTGATGTTGAGTAGATTTTGGGGCGAGATGAGCAAACCTGAGATCACTCGTGCAGTTGCTTCCATTGCTTCCGTTTCAGCAGTAGCAGGATCAAAAGCCAAGAAGGCTTGGTCACATCTGGCCACGGGTGCTTGTCACCTGGGGCACCTTGGTTCGCTCCCCGGAGTCTCTCGTCCTCCAGCAGCCTAGACCACTAACAGGTGCAGAGCATTGTTCCAAGAAAGCAAAGAAGTGGGGGTCCAGACAACACGGCGACTCAGAATTCTGCATTCAGAACTCGGCCTGACCTCTGCTGCACTTTGTCAGTTCAAATCACAGAGCTGACCCCTACCTGAGGGACGCCATGGTTCTGGTCGCAGTTCCCACAGGCCCCGAGGGTTCGAGGACAGGGAAGGGACAGAGCTTCAGTTCCAAGACGTCAGAGATTTCATGAAGTCGGACATAACAGTCTTCATATGCCATGGTCCGCGGTACTGAAGCAAACAAGTGGTCGGGTCAATGGCTCGGGGCGTTTCTAATGACAAAGATCTGGACGTCTTCACGTTTCTGCCCATGGCATTTAGTACAAAGGAGCTGAATTTACTCTGTTTCTGTGGAAACTGTGAAGAACAGCTGCCAATCAAACAACTCTCTTGAACTTAGCGCTAAGGGTCCCCAGATCTCACTAGGGCTGACATTCCAGGGTGGCTGTTGGAGGATGACTCTGATCCTCAGGTGACACCCGTTATAGCTGCTGAGGCACGAGTCACCTTTGTGCTGTCAGACTGGCTCCTCTCAGCAGCGCTGTTCTTGGCCTGGGAAATCTCAGTAGTGAGTCCCAGGAAAGGCTCCCAATTCCCAGCTTCCCTTGACCCCTTTCCATCAAGACAGTTAACATGCTACAGAGGCCCATGTGTGTCACAGCCCATGTGTGTGAAGAAGCGTCCACTTGGAAGGGGCACGCCACGGGCACTAGCAAAGACACCACTACGGCTCTGCCAAGCAGTGTTGGTCAGTCATCCAGCCTTCCTTCCCTTGTTGGCTATGACTACATCAGTAGACCACTGTGGCCAGGCTGGCTGCCACCACATCCAGGATCCACCTGTCTCCACCCCCAATGCTGCAGTTAGAGCACATGCAGCACCTACCCGTCTGGGGACTCGAACTCGGGTCTCCCTTCATACTCCTGCAGCAAGCACTCTGGCCCTCATTTCTTAATCCTTGTAACTGCTTTCTGTCTTTGAGTTCTGCCATTCAGTCACCTAAGCACGCTGCTGATGGGAAAACATGGACGCACTAGGAATGCTTCGGTCTGTTTTACTTTCCGTTTTTCATGTAAAGGCACGCGTGTGCTCAGCGTGTGCTCAGGAGGGGCTGCGCCGTTTCCTCCATCCACAGGCACGCGTGTGCTCAGGAGGGGCTGCGCTGTTTCCTCCATACACAGACACACGTGTGCTCAGGAGGGGCTGCGCCGGTTCCTCCATACACAGACATGCGTGTGCTCAGGAGGGGCTGCGCCGGTTCCTCCATACACAGACACGCGTGTGCTCAGGAGGGGCTGTGCCGGTTCCTCCATCCACAGGCACGCGTGTGCTCATGTGTGCTCAGGAGGGGCTGCGCCGTCTCCTCCATACACAGGCACGCGTGTGCTCAGTGTGTGCTCAGGAGAGTCTGCGCTGTTTCCCATCTAACCACAGTCCCCTCACCCCTGTTGCTCTCACAGGAGGGAGCCTCACCGGAGCGCTGTTTAACCCGGCTCTGGCGCTGTCTCTGCACTTCCCCTGCTTTGATGAATCCTTCTACCAGTTCTTTGTAGTATACTGGATTGCTCCTTCTCTAGGTAAGCATATTTTTATTTATTATAGGTTAGGGTATTTAATAGATTATGTGTGTGGGTGTTTTGCATGCGTGAGTGTGCACTGTTTGTGTGCCTAGTGCCCTTGGATCTCCTGGAACTGCAGTTAGCAGATGGGTGTGAGCTGTCATGTGGGTGCTGGGAATTTTTGTTTGTTTTTTTGTTTTTTCGAGACAAGGTTTCTCTGTAGCTTTGGAGCCTGTCCTGGAACTAGCTTCTGTAGACCAGGCTGGCCTGGAACTCAAACCACCACCGGGCTAAACCAATTGCTGTGAAGAGCAAACAGCGCTCTTAACTGCCAAGCCATCTTTCCAGCCTTCAAGGGTAAATATTTTAAAATATCGTATCTCAAAATATGACAATACATGAACCAGGAATGGTGACACATGCCTTTAATCCCAGCACTCGGGAGGCAGAGGCAGGAGGATCTCTTTAAGTTAGAAAGTTTGAGGCTAGCCTGGTCTACAAAAGCAAGTTCCAGGACAGTCAGGGATGTTACACAGAGAAAACAAAACAGAGAGTTTGAGACCAGCCTGCACTACACAAAACTTATCTCAAAAATGATAAAATCAATCTTTTTTTTTGCACTAAATACTTTTCCCCAAATTTGTGAGTTCCAAAGCAAATGTCATTTAATCATTTAGGTTGCTTTCCATATTTGTCAAAAAGTATCCTATACAACACTGTCGTCCATGTAGCCTCACACTGACTCCTAAGTCCCATCCGTGTTACTGCAGTCGAGATCAGGTCTGGGATGTAGCCCACGAAGTGCGTGCTTAGCATGCTCGAGGCTCTATCCATCGTATCAGAGAAACAAAAACTCTTTTAAAGAGGGATCAAGGAATGTACTATAAAGATAATACACATTTTATATAAAGATAATACACATTTTATATATTGCTAGTGTTTATGTTACCAGCATTTCTTCCTTTTACATAGCCATCAGCTAAATAAAATAGGCAAAACACCTATACAATAAAAGTAATTTATAAAAAGCTAAAAAAGATTGAAGGTTTGAGGTTGGAGGCGCTACTCAGTGGTCATAGCTTCTCTAGTGTATGCAAAGCCTGGACCTAAGACACAACATAGCGAAAATAACAAACACAGAAACGAAGCACTACTAATATGCAAGGAATTGTTTTAAACTATAGAGACTGAAGCACTGGCTTTAGGTATTTGCTTGGGACACATCTGTAAAACCCACTATGATGAGGCCCATGAAGCAAGAGCAAGAGCCTCACATACACACCCGGACACTCTGGGTGAATATCCCAAGGGAGCTATCCAGGTATTTCCTCCCTTGGAGTCCCACCCACTCTCCAGAGATTTTTCTTTTCTTTAATCTATGTTTGCTCTACTTTAAAACAACAAAAACATCAAAATGTGAGCTCCTGCCTCCCGAGCCACCTTTGAGGCGCGCGGAGAAAACTCGGCCACTTGGCGGGGGAACAAAGGACTTAAGTGCAGGGTTTCTCACCTGCCTGGATCGAAGCGGAAGTAGAGCGGGTACCACAGCTTCGGCGTCGTAATCCCCGGAGCGCACCATTGTTGCCGGACAGAGGAGAAGTGCGAGCACAATCTTAATTTGTTCCCACACAGCCACGACCGCCTTCCCTACAGACTTTGGGTTTTGTCTTCCAGGTGTGCTGCTGATGATCCTGACGTTCAGCTTTTTCCTTCCGTGGCTGCACAACAACCAAACGACGAACAAAAAGGAGTAACGACTCCCAAAGACTCAAACTCAAGTCACTGGAGAGTCAGGGGGGTCTGACCCATGTGACCCCCCTCTCAAACTCTGGCCGCACTGGACTCGCCGCTGTCTCAACGTCCTTTGTGGACGGCGTCTTAATGTTTTCACAACCTGCACTTAAAATTACTGTGAAAATGAGGTAGCCTGTCTTCCCAACTAAGACCTGTTCTTCTGAGTGATGTATTAAATGCTGCTAGAAAAGGCTCATTCATTAATCCTCTATAAATCCCCGGTGATTACTCACCGTGATTAAAAAAAAAAAAACCAAGTGAATACAAAGTTAAGTGGGGGAGGACCAAAGAAATTCTGTACTGTCCCTCTGAATGACCTGGGCTCTAAGCTCAAGTATCACACTCAGGGAGCAAGCGGAGGTGCTTTTCGGCCACATCTCAGTGACACCATCAGTGATGGCATCTCTTTTTTTTATTCTTTTTTTTTTTTTTCGAGACAGGGTTTCTCTGTGGTTTTGGAGCCTGTCCTGGAACTAGCTCTTGTAGACCAGGCTGGTCTCGAACTCACAGAGATCCACCCGCCTCTGCCTCCAAAGTGCTGGGATTAAAGGCGTGCGCCACCACCGCCGGGCGGCATCTCTTAATAGAAGAGTTGGTTTGACACAGGGTCTCACTTGTGGCCTGGCTGGCCTGCAGCTTCCTGTCTGGATCAGGCAGGCCTCAAACATGCAGCGATCCTTTCGCCTCTGCCTTCCAAAGATTACAGAGGTGTGCCATCACAAACAAGGTTTGTTTTATTTTTGTTTGGGGGTGTGGGCTCACGTGATGTAGCCCACGTCGGCCTTGAACTCACCATCCCCTTGAGTGCTGGGATTATAGATTATACTACCACAACTGCCTCAGGTTTCCAAGCTTTTAAATATATTCTAAGCCTGAAACAGTTTCTCTTAAGTAGATGGTTTCAGCCAATCGTCTTAATAGGGTGTGGTAAACCCAGCCGGGACGTGGCCTCTTCACTTCCCAATTGCACTCCACAGCTCCCTGGAGACGCAGGCGGGTTCTTGCTCTGTGGCTTTATTTCTGTAATGACGCACTGGCATGCTCAAATGACATTCCAACGACAAACCGTGGGAACGAGTTGTTCACCTCGCTTACACGCTCAGAAGCTAAGCCTAGAGGTGTGCTTTGTGCCCCCACTCTACGGCGAGGCAAATGTAACTCTACACGAACTTCTCAGCAACAAAAACTCCTTCCAGCCCGCAGTGACTGGAGGAAAAGGTTCTCAATATTAAATTCTTTTTATGAAATTTAGAAACTCAGTATTTTCCTTTCTTCTTTTTGTGTATGTGCATATGAGTACATGTATGTGTATGCACATGTATGTGCAGGTACCCCAGGACGCCAGAAGAGGATCTCCTGGAGCTGGAGTTACAGGTGGTTGTCAGCTGCCGTGTGGCTGTCGGGAATTGAACTCAGGACCTCTGGAAGAACAACCAGTGCTCTTAACCTGAGCCATCTCTCCAGCCCTAGCAAGTGCTCTTAACTGATGAGCCGTCTCTTCAGGCCTTTAGCGTTTCTTCATTGAAAGCCTTATTATGAAGTCCAATTTTTTTAAATTTAAATTTCTATCTCATTATTTTGTGTGTAACATGTGTCAGTACACGCTATGGCACATGTTCGGAGAGCGGAGCCCATCTTCACGATCTCCATGGGTCTCCACTTCCATGTACTTCAGCTTCCTTCCATCTTCCCTGAGGTCCTGGTGATGGAACCCAGATCGCTAGGTCTGGGCTGTGATGCCTTTACCCCCTGGGCCATCTTGCTGGCCTTGAAATCTAATTACAAAGATTTCAGGCCATAGAAGCTACACACATTCCTTGACCACACTACCAGTCTTATGGTGCGTGTGTGTGTGTGTGTGTGTGTGAGAGAGAGAGAGAGAGAGAGAGAGAGAGAGAGAGAGAGAGAGAGAGAGATCACCTGCTTGAGTAGTAATGAGCATTCCTCTGGTAAGTTGCCAGGTAACAGCACTGTGTGGTGGGGAGCCTCCAGACAGTGGCTGGGCAGTGTGTTACTAAGTCCAACAGGTAGATAAGATAATGGATCATAACAGTGCTTTAAATGAGAGGTTTCAAAATTGTGAGATAACTACATGCACATGCTCTCAAAGTCCTTCTCCAGGGACAGGCAAACTTCCTCCAGAAGTGTGCACCCCCTAAACCTGTCTCCAAATTAAATCTTTTAGAGAAAGTATCAAGGAGACACTTTCACATATATTTTTATAGGAAAACTTATAGTGCTGGCTTCTCCTCCAATTTGAGGCCTGCATGCCATCCTGGCAACACTACAAACAATGACCGTTCCCCTTAAGACCACCTTGCCTTCAAAACTGACGCCGTTTCCTTTAGTTTCACTAACACGCATGCTCCATGGCTTGACAGGCAAACGCCCAACCTCTGAACTGAGCACTGAGTCTGTTTGTCCTGTGTTGGTCCGGGCGCCACTTCCTGCCCACTGGGCCCTGAGGTGGAACTTCCTGTCCTGGCGACTGCTTGAGCTGATAGTGTTTTTATTCTGGGAAAGGTTTAAGAGGTGCGGCTTCTGGGGAAGTGTGTCACTGGGGGTGGACTTCGAGAGTCATAACCTAGCCCTGCTTGCGTTCTGTCCTGTATTTGTGGCTGGAGATGTGCTCCGTCAGCCCCTGCTCCTGTCACGCTGGACTCTCATCCCCCTGAAACCATTAAGCCACAATAAACAACTCTTTCCTTCATGAAGAAAAAGTTGACGTTGCGTCTGTGTGAATACATGGCATCTGTGTGCAGGAACCTGTGGAGCCAGAGGCCAAGGCAGTTCTGAGCTCGTTCCTGCCTCTTTGTGGAATGTTACTGTCTCGGTAACTGAAGCCCACAGAGGGAGCCTCCCAACGTCTTGGCCTCTGAGCTCCTTGGCTGTCTCTCCTTTTGATAGTGTGTCCTTTGCTTGACCTAAGTTCCACTTTAGCTACAAGCTTGGCATTGTCAGTAAACAAAATCTAAGAGCTCAAATTCTAACTTCCAGTTCTAACCCCTCTTCGCTCCCTCACTCTGGTGCCTTATCTCCAGGGACCTCAAGTACTCTTTTCTACTCATGGGCAATCCTGTCACTAACACGCCCCCCCCCCCCCATCCTTAGCGCCCTTCCCTGGCTGTCATACTAACACATGCTAACAACTTAAGTCACACGGAACTGTGCTTACTCTATGTGCTTCAGAACACAACATCAACTCATTTTTCTACCCACCCTTCTATACGCACAGCTGGACTTTTTTGTGGGGGGACTGAGTGATGCTGAGGATGAACCCAGGCTGGGCGCACGCCGGGTAAGTGCTCTGGCGCTAAGCCATATCCTCAGGTCTTTCCTGCTGGAGCTGGCCACGTCTGGGTGGATTTACCACTACAATCTTGTTAGTTTTATGGAAATGGCTGCAGTCTCATGCCGAGCAGTTTAGCTCTCGGCACCACGGTGTACTTAGACTGTTTATTCGGAAGTATTATTCGTCCAAATTCACTGCTCCTGTCCACGTGACCCACACAAGCACTGCCCTCTCCTCACCTGGCGCTCTGGAAACCAGACACTAGTGCATCACAGCTGTTTACAGAGCAAAAGCAGGGACCAGCAGGTGCTGTTTAAAAAACCGCAGACTCCAGGATACTTAACTGTTTAGTGGAATTTTGTATTTCAAGTTTCAAGATGTGTTCTAATCGCTGGTGGGTTACAAGTTAGTGAGCGTCTCTCCTGGAAGTCAGTATTAGGCTGGGATGCAGCTCGGCTGGAGGTGTCCGCCTAACACGCAAAGGCCCTGAGTTGGACCCCTAGAACCACATTAAGATTCGGCAGAGGAGGTAGAGGCAGGAGGATGAAAAGTTCAAGACCACTCTAAGCTAAGTGGCAAGCTGGACTATATAAACAAGGCTGGCCTTAAACTCAGAGATCCACCTGCCTCTGCTTCCTGAGGCAGGCTGAGTTTCATTTTTAAGTAGTCTGAGCCGTTTCCCTCAAGGTTACAGACAGTTCTAGCCTCAAAGAATGACACATCAGTCTTTGAAAGCATCATCCCTCCTTTGCAGGTGACAGAGTAGGTCTAGATGTACACACAGAACATCTCACAGAATCTCCTGAAACTTGTTCCCTTAGAACAGGGGTTCTCAACCTTCCTAATGCAGTGACCCTTTCATACAGTTCCTCACGGTGTGGTGATTTATTCTTTTTTCTTGCTACTTCATAACTAATTTTGCTACTTATGAATCACAATGTAATTATCTGTGGTTTCTTTTTTTCTTTTTTTTTTTGGGGGGGGGGGCGCGTTGAGACCTGGTTTCTTTGTAGCTTTGGAGCCTGTCCTGGAACTAGCTCTTGTAGACCAGGCTGGCCTCAAACTCAGAGATCCGCCTGCCTCTACCTCCCGAGTGCTGGGATTAAACGCATGCGCCACCATTGCCTGGCAGTATCTGTGTTTTCTGATGGTCTTAGGTGACCCTGTGAAGGGGTCACTTACCCCCTAAAAGGGACGCACCCACATGTTGAGAGAACCACTTCATTTGAAAGATACTCAATGAGATTCTTACAATCAACCTATGAGAAAGTCTTGACCCCCCCTCCCCCCACTGAAGAGTGAGCATATTTCTAGGAGAGCAGAAAAATTTGTAAACAGGAGTTTGCACTTAGTGCTGGCTGCTGATAGGTACTAAGGCTGTACCGCGTTTTGGAAAGTAGGCTTAAAAAAACCACAATTCGATATCCACATAACCATAAGGGGTCCTCTCTCTGGACTCAGCTCCCCCTCTCCAGCGTGGGTGCTGAAATTACCCCACAAATCAGTCACTCATCACACACCTGATACGGGAAGAACGCAAGACAGTGGCAGTCACTGAGGCCTGAAAAAAAACAGGCCTCTGCCATGGTGGACTGGGCGGAGCAAACAGACAGGGCCTGAGTTGGTCCTAGCCTGCCTGCTTTGTATTTTTACAAAAAGTGCTCCTGGTCAGAAAATGATTACAAATATGCAATAAAGACAGATTCAGACAAAGAAATAAACCTCTAAATGGGTCACAGTGTGTTTTCATAGATCAAAGGAGTAAAGATAATAAATATTAAAAAGTAGCAAAGAAAAATAAGCCACATAAATATGGAAAATACAGAGTCTGGATTATGTATATTATTCTGTTTTCTTTGAATTTTTTGACTATAGAGAGATATTTGATTCTGGGGGCTGCTACGCTAAACCAACATAAAGGTATCGTGACCTCAAAATTTGGGTATAAGGATATGTTGCTTTGGGAAAGAGGTTCTGCTTTTGTTTCCACAGATGAAAACCTGTGGATTCCTTCCAGACTACTGTGGTTTGATGGGACAAGACTCACCCCCACCCCCTGAAAGGTCTCCGTGAACCCTAAAAATACTTCCCCCAACAAACACTAGGATGTTTGGAAAAAACAACACCCAAATTCCAAAATTGTTTGTGGATGTTTGTTTTCATTTAAAGGGGAATATGATGTAGTGATGAATCCTTTGCACTGGTGTGGATCTTGGTCTACTGATACAAACTTAAGGTCAGTTCTGTTACACTGTGTACGTATTTCTGCTCTTGTTTAAGGTATTGTGTTTATACAGCTCATTTAAAAATGTAATGCATAATTAAAATGTACAGATCAATAGTCATCTATAATGATCACACTTGTAGTCGTGTTAGTCAGGTTTTCTAGATCCAGAGAGATCTAGACCTACGGAACACGGCATTTAAAAGGTTTCTGCACAGTGAGACATGCCTGCTCCTGGCAGCACGAATTACTTTAGAGAGGTTGATGGGCATTGAAGAAACTCGATATGGAATTTGTCTTCAATGTGACAAGGCTAGCCATTTGGGCAAGAAACTGCTCTTGTCTGGACTAGCTGATGAACCAGACATGCAGAACCCACACAGAAATGACTGATGAACTTGCCTGAAGAAGGTGAGACAGTCCTTCAGGGTTCCTGCTCCACCAAAGAAATCCCAAATCGCTCAGATACCCTCTTTCAAAGGTCACAGAAAATTCAGGTGTGAGCCAGCCATAGTGATACACAGCTTTAATCCCAAGACTTTGGAGACAGAGGCAGGTGGATCGCTGGGTTCTAGACCAGACAGAGATACATAATATTTCTAAAACAAACTGGCAGAAGCTAGAACTATGCAGTTCAGCCTTGCGAACACTATCCAGGTCCCTATGGAAACCATACCGCAAGGGCTGATACACTGAGGACCGCCCCTGATGCAGGCAGCATCGGCAAGTCTTCAAACGTGTTAAGACTCAATTTACAGAAGACGCGCTAGAAGTTGCATGTTTTATAAATTCATGCTCCTAACAGGAACTGAAGCTGGCCTGGAAGATGGCTGGGTCTACAAAGTGCCTTCTGCACAAACACACACCCAGTTTTGGATCCTAGCACTCCTGCAGTAGTGGGACATGGTATCTATAACTCTAGAGTTGAGAGGGGGGGGGTGTGAGCCGAGGAGCAGGAACTAGAAGACAGAGGATCCCTGGAGCTGGTCAGCCAGGCTACTCTAGGTTCAGTGAGTGATCCTGTCTCAGGAGACAAGGTGGATGGAGCTGGAGAGATGGCTCAGAGTTAAAAGCACATACTATTCTTGAAGTTCAGTTCCAAGCGACATCATATAGCCCACAGCTGCCTGTAACTCCAGGTCTAGGGGATCCATCACCCTCTTTCCTCCGTAGACACCTATAATCACATGTACAGATGATATGCATACACATAATTAAAAGTAAAAATTAGCATGATGGCGCACGCCTTTAATTCTAGCACAAGAGGGCAGAGGCAGGCAAGGCAGATCCCTCGAGTCCCAGGCCAGCCTGGGCTATCCACTCAGACTGTTTCAAAGAATAAAAATATAGTAATGCTGAGAACAGGGGGTTAGAGCATAATGGCAGCCTCAGGTTTCCACAGACACAGGCGAGTGCAGAGGCCTCGAAGGCCAGAGCTGTCGGGTCCTACAGAGCTGGAGATACAGGTGTGAGCTGTCTGACGTGTGGGCTGGGAACAAGCTTGGATCCTCTGCCAGAGCAGTACAAACTCTTAACTGCGGAGACCTCTCTGGCCCCCGAGGATCTCTGTGAAACCTAGCTGGCCATGACCTCCTGAGTGCCAGGGCCCCCAGGCATATTAACCAGGCCTAGTTCACAAAATGCTAGGAACTGCACCCAGGGCTTCCTGCAGTTAGACCCGCACTCTACCAACCAATCTCTGCCCAGCATCACTTTACCATTTATTCACGTGTACGGCTGCATGTCTTCCCATGTGCATTCGAGTGCTCATGGAAGCACAGAGGTGGTCAGATCCCCTGCAGCTGACATTACAACAGCTGTGAGCTGCCCAATATAGATTGGAGGAACTCAACTCAGGGCCTCTAAAGAGCAGCAAACTCTGGGCTGGAGAGAGGAGTGAGCAGGTAAGAACGCTTGCTATTCTGGCAGAGGACCTAGGGTCAGTTCCAGCATCTACATGGCAGTTCACAAGTGTCTCTAACTCCAGGTCCACTGCACCAAGCCCCTCCGTGGGTGCTAGGCATGCATGGGATGCACTCACACACAGAGGCAAAACTCCTAAAGTAAGAATTTTTCTCATTAATGGTTAGTCAAGAACAAAAACACAAAGACATAGAAAACCTAGATTTATTTGTTACCTATTACAAAGACAAGACTCATGAAGAGTACTCTGCGGACTCCATTACAGACTACTTGTTCTGTTACAGAAAGCTAAGAGCGGACAGTCAAGGACCTCGCTGGGAGAACATGACAGAGCTGACAGCGGAAGGAGAGGAACAGAAGCTGGACAGCAGTACTGCATCCTGGCAAGGAATCGCTGGGGGTTCAAGAGGTGGCCTGGCGTAGCCTAAAGTAAAGGACCAATGCGTCTGTGGAAACGCTTAGAGCCTGCCCCGTGAGGCCTGTACTTTTGTCTTAGGGACAGGAGTTCTTTTAGGCCCCAGACGTCTGAGATGTCTAAGCTTCAGCATCTTTCTGATCCAGTCTACACAGGGTGAGCTCTGTATTCACTACGCAGGCTTGCAGCTGACAGACGTGCACATGAGCAAGCCAGGAACTGAGGTCTACCCAGGAGACGCCTAGCCACAGGAGGTCTGGGGGTGAATGAGAGCTACAGACACCGCTCAGTTAATTCACCTTTGTTGACAAAGGTCTCTTCGCTGGTGACATTTGCTGTCCCAGTATAGTCTGTCTTGAAAAGTGGGCTTTGGAGAGGAAGAAGCCTTTCACCGGCCCACTCTGGAGTGGGAGAGGCACCAAGTTCCCGCCTACTGTTATGAGGGACTCTGAAAGACAAAAGGTTTATAATTATTACTACTAACAGCCATTTTTTAGGTAGCCTAGTAGGGTTCCAGACTTGTTCTTTCTCAGGCCTCGTAATAACCCTTCCAGGAAGCTCTTATCACCCCACTTTAAAAACGAGGAAACCAAGGAACGGTTATGTTCTGTGTGCAGCGTGTGCAGAGGAGCACGGGTGGCGTGTGCATACGTGTGTCATGGGTGGAGCTGTGACCAGCAGTCCTGTGTACCCCATCTCATGCACCAAGCCGTGAGTTTTAAATTAGCAATGGTTACATAAACACCTTAGCCCTTGTTCAAGCTTTAAAAGCACATATAATCTTAAATGTTCAAAACTACATTGTTTGGAAATCAGGTCAACGACTCAGATGAGCATGAATAAAATTTATGAATATATTATTTCTTTGACATTGAGCAGAGACAATAAAATGAGCAGAAAACAAACTAGCCGCTCATTAGAAAATCTGTAGAAATTTTACAGTTATTTCACCATTACAAAGAATCTAAGAATCCAGTGTGGAACCATTAGTGATGTGCCAAGTCAGTCTCTCACGACAGCTACAAACAGAATGAGAATCTCTCAACAGCCACTTTTTCAGAGAAAAATGGGAAAGCCAGATTGTATAAAAACACCTGTCTTCCAGGACAATAATACACTTATAAAAAGACAGCCACAGGCAGAACAAAAAATTATTAAGAATGTGATGAGGGGACTGGAGAGATGGCTCAGCAGTTAAGAGCACAGCCTGTTCTTCCAGTGGTCCCGAGTTCAATTCCCTGCAGCCACAGGAGGCTCATAACCACCTGCAATGAGATCGGTGCCCCCTTGTGTGCAGGCAGACATGCAGGCAGTGGAGCAGGCGGTTCCTGGTTCTCCACGCGGGAAGAGAGGAGGATGCTGCAGACGGCAGACGGCAGGGAAACAGCAATGTTCGAGGAAGGAAAGTATTTATGGGGTGAGATATAAACCACAGAATTTCTTTGAGTTGTTGCCCGCCCCACCCCCACCCCCGACAGAGTTTCTCTGTGGAACAGTCCTGGAACTCACTGAGGTCGCCTGCCTCTGCCTCCCAAGTGCTGGGATTAAAGGCGAGCGCCACCATCGCCCGGCAAAGTTATTTTTATTATTACTTTTGATAACCATACTAGAAGAATAGAAAGCCAATGTTAAAATTTATAGTTTCACAGCTACAATAATTGTTAACACTGAATTAAAATAACTTTATTTTATGTGTATGTGTGTTTGCCTACGGGATGCGTATGCTGTGCCTGTGGGGCCTGTGGGGCAGAAGAGAGCATCAGATCCTCTGGAACTGGACTTCACAGATGCCTGTGCAAGTGCTGCTAACCCATGAGCCACCTCTGCAGTCAGAGATGAAGCTGGTTTCCAACATGAAACAAAACAAGTAACAGAGGGAACTGTCCCCGCCCCAACCACAGCAGGGAGAGATAACTAGACGACTGTTGGTAAGAGCGGAGCGTCACGGCCAACTACACACGTTGTCTGGTCATGAAGATATGTGCTTTAATAAACATAAGGACCTGGAGGACACTGGCTGGGAAACGGCGGTATTTAGAAGGAAGGACAGAACGACAATTTTACCAAGAAAATCTTGTGATTCTAAGAAAGGGCTCTGCAGCTGCCAGTCCCTGACCTTCAGTTACCTAACGAAGTCAGTCTAACACTCACACTGGGAAAGGGCAACACACGTCTCAGGGTTCGCAGAGCAGCAAATACTCGGGGACAGGAAAACACCCAGGAAGTAATGGCCGGGACAGTCTGCTCCCTACGGCTCCCAGAAAGAGGGAGGGACAGCAATACAAGATTATCATTAGCGATTAGGCTAATTCCTCCGTGAATGAAAAGCTGTGAGGTGTAACAAACCATGAACAGGGACCAACTAAGGCAAACGGGCAGAGGTGACTCACGAGCAGACCAGGACAGGCTCAGGCGTCATGCCCGCATTAGCCAGCAGGGAGGCCTGTCTGCACAGACGCGACCATCAGTTGCTAATATCACAGTCATGTCTTTGTCACACATGTACTACATTTCCAGGGTAGTGCTCGGCAGAGAATGAACCACACTACAGGGTTTACAATTTTCTCATGTTTAGGGAAAGAAACATGCAGTTTTCAGTAACTGGAGATGGGTGCCACGTTTCAAACTGTTACCTTATAGAGTTCATACAGAGCTCTTAAATTATGAACTTTTCCCTGCGCTGTGACAAAGGAGAAGGAGCTACTCACTGTGCAGCAGCAGCAGCAGCAGCATCCTCAGTGGTCCACATCTGCATCCTCAAACTGCCCAGCAACCGTGGGGGCGGCATCCACCTCCATGCCATCTGAACAGAAATGGATTGCACTTCAGACAGGAAGCTCAACGAGGACGCCAGCGCCCTCTGCTGGCAAGAATTAACTTTTTAAAAACTGGGTACCATAGTCCCACCACTGGAGAAGCAGAGTCAGACAGAACTGTGGGTTTGAGGCCAGCCTGGTCTGTGTAGTTCCATGCCAGCCAGAGCTACACATTGAAACCCAATCTCAAAAAATAAAATTAAAATAACTGGCTTTTAAAACTGTGGCATTTTGCTTTGTTTCTGGTCTCCTGTGGTTGAGGCTGCCCTCAGTTCCTCATGTGCTAGAATTGCAGGGACCCCCAGCACACCAGGCTACCTCACACTCCACTCCACACTTTATACCTTGAAAACTAAACTACCCAAAAGAGACCAGAAGGAAAATGCTCCTGATCCCCTCTGCTGGCTTCCAAGGACAGCAACCACAAGTGGTGCAGACATGCAGTCAAGTTAAAGTCAGTCCAAACAGGGAGCATTTACTTTGTGAATTCAGAGCATCAACACCTAAACACATATATACATATATGTATACACATATACACAAATCCCAGAAATTCTAGGCAGGAGTCAATTTATATCTTTCCTTCCTTTTGTTCTTTTTAAATTTTCCTGGACAATGTTTTGCTATGCAGGCTGGCTCAAACTCAGTGTAGTCTAGGCTCACCTCCCGAGGAGGTCTGCCTGGTAGGAGTTTTCAAACAGGCATGGAGAACCGTGTTAAGTATTCCTGTTGGACATATTAAAGGCACTGCAAAGGTGAGGACCGGAGAGGTGGTTCAGCAGCGATGAACTCCAGCTGCGTTTTCAGAGGACTCAGGTTCGACTCCCAGCACCCACACGGCAGATCACAACTGATCTGACACCCTCTGCTCCAAGGACACCAACCACAAGTGGTGCAGACATACATGCAGGTAACACACACACACACACGTGGCGTGGGAGGAGGGCAGCCGGATGCGTGCTCTGTAGGGCAGTGTCTACAGCGGCCTTCTTTACTTTCCCACCCGAGTCTTCACCAGCCACAGACTTCTGCCCACAGCCCCCTGCACCCTATCACCTAGGTATGGGGAAGATGATCACTTTAGTTTACTCGTCTGAGACCAGCATCCAATGGTCCAGAAATCCAAGAACTCCAGGCAAATGTGCTATACGCATGGAGATACCAATCACAGCCTGAGAGGTGTAAGCGCACCGACAGGAGAGAAGCTACGGAAAGCCATTTCAGGCATATCCTGTAATCATTAGAAGTAACAGGCGTTATGGTGTTACTAGGGCATACACAGTAACACGCACTAAACACATACAGAAGGCCAGAGGTGCTTATGACGCTGGCAGGTGTACTTCTGTAATGGCTCACTTAATCCTCTTACCACTTATCAGTGTTTGGTCTCAACCAGTGCAATCCTTCTGTGTCTCAGTTATCTAATGTGTAATATGGGAATCATAATTTTATTCAAGAGTTGTTAGAAGAATTCAATGTGTGTGTGTGCCCGCGCGCATAAGTAAAACATCAAATCCACGCGTGGCACACCGTCAGCTTGCGGTCAGAGGCACAGCACTGCCAGCTCCTGGTAAACGATGTCATCCCTTCAGAGCCGACCGTGTAACGGAGGCTGGAAAATGACTCAGCCAACGTGCTAGCTGTGCAAACCTGATACCATGCAGAGCTGGATCCCAGCATTCCTACAGTGCTACAGATGGGCGTGGGGGGACAGACGGGAGAATCACCCCAAACTTAAAGGTCAAACACCTAGAGTATGCAGAACAGCAAAAGGAGGCCGCCCTTTGCGTGTAACACACGCACCGCCCATGCATCTTCCTCCCGTCACCAAACAAACAATTACTGAAGAAGCCAGAAAAAACTAGCCTCTTGCTGAAGACGGCACATCCATGGAGAAATCAGGCCGACACCAACCTGGAAGCATCTCTCCGGCTAGCTATCACAGTCCTAGCAGGTGCTATCCACAGTAGCAGGAAGATAGCCGACTGGCACGACCATGGCCTGAGTGTTATAGGAGACCGCACTGTCTGACTGGATTTCTGACCTGTTCCACGAGGTGAACTGGACCTAGAGCCTGTGGGTGGGGAGGCGCAGGCCCACTATTCTGCTGCTAGGGACACAGTAGATTTTCTCCTCCCGAGGGCATCCTGGCCCTAGACCACCTGTGCAGCTGACACAGCTGGGGAGACAGGGTGCCCAGGACACAGAACAACAACAAAAACATCCCAGTTCTAGGAATTCTACATTTGTTTCCTGTATTTTTAAGTTAACTGTGGCATTTCATTGCCTTCCAGTTTCTAACAGAAAACTTTGTTTACGATTTCCCTTACAGCCATTTGCTTACCCGGAAGAGAACGATGAACTCACCTTCATAATCTCTTACGGAATCGTCTGTCCGCACTCCCGCCATATTATACTGGCTGCTCACGGACTGGGAAAGCATCCCTTCTAACCGCTCCAGTGTGGCTTGCCCTTCGGCGGTTAAATGGGACAGTCCTTCTTCATAGGTGTAAAAGGTAGGGATGTCCCCCTGCCCTTGTTCTGAACAAACAGAAAGCTGTTAAGCTTTTACACAACAGTGAGAAAAACAAAAGGGATAATCAATAACACATTTGCTCAAGACAGAGAGGCTCCCAGAAAGACTTCCAAAATTTATTATTAGGCCACTGTTTAAAAGAGGCTGAAGAAAAGAAAAACTGTCCCTCTGCCCTCTAGGATGAGAAAACATTTAAGAGATAATAAACTACTGACTGTTAGTTCACAGAGAATGGACTTGTCTCGGGTCTAGAAGGAAAAGAGGGTGTTTCGAAAATCAGGGACTCCCTTCTTATTCCAAGGTGGGAACTTTACAAGCGAACACAAAATATTTTGATACTAAAGGGATTTTTGAATTAACTTATTTCTATTAAAACATATCTGAAATAAAAAAAAAATCTAAAAAACACAAAAAGGACAAAACATAAAACCAAGTTTTAAAAGAATCTCTAAGAAGTGAGCAGACACTTATGTTTGTGAAGAACGATCCCAGAAAAGCCTGGTCTCAGGCCAGCTATGGATTCCTAAGTAGGAAGAAGTCAGATGCCCACACTGACCGCTTAAGACCAGAGGGGAATGCAAACAGACCAGTCTGCGCCGCAGGCTACAAGCACAGGAGGTAGTGAAAGCATCCTGGTCTGGGAAAGAGAATGGTTGTTTGGGGGGGGGGGGGGAATGACATTGTCAGTAAGTATTTCAAGAGCTGTGTTGAACAGAGAAGGGATCAGCAGGACCAGGGAGAAATGCCTGGCTTAGGGCACTAGGGGCTCTTGCAGGGGACTGGGGTTTGGTTCCCAGCACCGGGTTGGCAGTTCAAATCTCCAATTCTATTTCCAGGGGTTCCAAATCCTTTTCTAGCCTCTGAGGGCACCAGGCACACGCGTGGTGCGCACATATAAAAAAATTTTAAAGAGATACATGAAGATTCTCGATGGGCAGAGTGGGCAGCAGACTCAGTCTGCAGTGTGCCCTCGATTGCGGCTTCCCATTTGTTTCTCAGCCACTCCCCACCGAGTGCATGCACCCTTCCCGTTATTTACGGCCATCCCACACTGGTTACTCTGTGGAGACAGAAAGAGCTAAAATCTCCACCAACCGTGGGCTTCCACGTCGTACTCTTCTTCATCGTAGTCGTCAGAGTCTTCATCCTCCGGGTCTGGATGCAGGGCCTGGCATTCACACATCGCAGTGAACATGGCCTCCACTGCGCAAAGACATCACGCCGTTACTGAGGTGTCCTTTCCCAGTGCACCAAGGGGTTTTAGAACAAACACCCGTGCCAACCAATTTAAAAGCAGACAGAAGGTTTACTAGGGTAACAATATTTATAAAATCTGCAAAATTCAAATAAAAATTGACCACGGAAAGCACACTGCCTATTACAAAAGAGACTGAGACTACGAACACGGCACAAAGAGTTCAAGACATTACTAGGGTCTCGCCATGGGTGATTAGACTTAATAGAATAGGTCAAGCCAAGTGTGGTGGCACATGACTTCGATCCCAACTCTCAGGAGGCAGAAGTACAGCCACATCTACATAGCAAGTTCTAGGACAGCCAAGACTAGAAAGAGAGACCCTGACAAGACAAAAAGAAAGAGACAGAGAGGGAGGGAGGGAAAGGTCAGAGTTACTGGTCACACTGCTGACTAGGTTGAGGCTCCTGTCACATGACAGGTACTTCCCATCCGTCTCAGCATGCCCACCTCTGGAAGTCTTCCCACAGGTGACACTCAGTGAGCAGCATCCGCCAGTAACACTGACCAGAACCCTCCTTACCAGAGCAGAGCAGGCGCCATGCTGTCGGCAATACCACTGTAGCCAGCATCTGTGACACTCTAAGTTCCCACTCCCACAGGAGGGAGGCCACCAGAACCAATGGGTGGGGACACAGAGAAGATCAGTATTACAGAACACTCACATGCAGACTTATCACTGGGCACAAATCTAAATTCAGTAATGGGTTCAACATCTTCATCACCGTCTTCCTCATCTTCATCAGAGAGAGAGTCTTTTGATTCTTCTATGAGAGGAATACAGATAATCTTTTCAGACATTGCAGTTTTTAAGGACTGCCTTATGTGTATCTGCATAAGCTTATGTGCGCAGCGTGCACCCAGGAGCCAGAGGAGGCCACCAGGATGCCCTGGAGCTGGTGTTAGAAGCACTCTGAGTCACCTGACAGGGTTCCTGGAAACCCGACTCTGATCCTCTGAAAGAGCAGCGGGAGGTCTTAACTGCTGACCTATCTGTTGATCTAGCTCAGGAATACAAACTTTTAAATATTTATTTGACATTTTAGGACACTGAAGCTAGATTCACTCACAGCAGTGTGTGCTTGAAATATCTGAGGAACAGATGCGCATATGCACATTAAAAAATTAAGCTGGGTAGCGGTGAGCTCGGGAGACAGGAGCAGGTGAACCTCTATAATTTCAAGGTCAGCCTGGTCTACAAATAGAGTTCCAGGACAGCCAAGGATGTTACACAGGGAAACCCTGTCTTGAAAAAAACAATTAATTAATTAATTAACCAAAAGGCTAGGAAATTTATTAGTATATCTGAATACTGCAATTCAATTTTTACTGATGGTTACTTCAGAGTGGGAGAAGGCTCCAGGGCTGTGCTCAGCAGCAGGCACTGGTAACACACAGAGAACACAGCACTATTCAAGCAAGACGGTTTCAAGTTCACGAAAGCTAACTGACCAACAGATAAATGAACAGTTTGTAGATAAAAATGTTTAATGAGAATTAGCTGAAAATAATAGCTTCGTGGTAGAGAGGTCATTTTGCACAGCAGGTCCTGGGTTTAAGCCCTTCACTGGGAAAATGAACCGACAGTGTTATATATGTATCAACACAGAGACCTTTAAAAAGGACTGTATGAAAGAGCTAGCTGTAGAATATATAATACCATTTAATTAAAATCTTAAACATAAAACCGTTACATTTGTTGGAGGCATACAGACTTTCAGTTAAAGTTAAAAGCATATATAGGAGGGCTAGAGAATCGGCTCAGGGGTTAAGAGCACTTGATACTCTGGCAGAGAACCCAGGCTTGATTGCTGATGCCCAACAGCAGCTCACAACGATCTGTTACTCCAGTACCAGGAGATCCACCTCCTCCTTCCAGACCTCGACAGGCACCAGGCACACATATGACAGACACAGATGCAGGCAAAACACTCATGTACATGAAATTACAATAAACCAAAACGCAGCACATATAGGAAGCAGATACACTACCTTTACAATATCGTTTAACTTGAGTAAGACAGTAGAGGATGAAATGGGGGTCCACACAAAACAGCTGAGGCAGGTAGATCTTTGTGTGCTCAAGACCAACATGATCTACACAGTGGATGCCAGGACATGGAGACCCTGCCCTCCCCAGAGCAGCTTTCAACAGTATTTACTTAAGTTTCCCTTAAAAATGTATAGTAACCAGGGAAAAGAGACAGAATTTACACTGGATACTGAATATTAACGAATTACTCTAGTCAGGTGGTGAACATCTTTGATTGCAGCACTCAGGAAGCAGAGGCAGGAAATCTCTTGAGGTGGAGGCCAGCCTGGTCTACAGAGTGAGTTCTAGGACAGGAAGGACTACACAGCGAAATCCTGCCCTGAAAAACCATAAATAAACAAATACATAACAAATACTCTGCTTTCTCTATGTCTGAACGATTTTATAATGTAAAAGAACAGGTCAATCAAATATTTAAACTGACCCCAAAACAGCAAACATGTTTGCTGAGATTAGCAAATTAAGGGCTGGTGAGGTAGATCTGCGTACATCTGACAATACTGAGTCTGACCCACAGAGCCCACTCACAGGAGGAAAGAACCAAACCCACAAAGCTTTCTCTGCCCTCCACATGCACAAACACACACCACACACACAAATATCACTACAAACTGAGCAGACGTGGTGGAGCATGCCTATAGTCCCCGCTGCTCAGGAGGGCGAGGGAAGAAGAGTCAGTTAGGCGCCAACAGTGGCGACTCAGCAGCAGAAGCTTGCCTAGCATGTTCAAAGCCCTGGGCTCAACCCTTAGCTACGGCAAACAAGAAGAAACTTTTACAGTTAAAGCAGCATTAAAATAACTTTATCATCTACACCGATGAAGAAAAAGCGGAACAACTGTTAACACGGTGAATCCACTTGCAGGGAGTGTCAGCTTTCCATCACCGTGACAACATACTGGGCCATCAATCAACAGGAAGGAGGACAACCTGGTGTGGCTCCTGCTGTCAGAGGCTGATGTAGAGGCTGACCGTGGTCAGCTGGCTGCACTGCTAGGGAGCTGAATCACGGCAGAGTGGGTGAGATGGAGCAGGAGGTCTTCCCTCAAGAGAGAGCGGGGGGGGGGGGGGGGGGGGGGGGGGGGGGGGGGGGGGGGGGGGGGGGGGGGGGGGGGGGGGGGGGGGGGGGGGGAGGCGAGGAGAGAGAGAATGCTTTCCTTCCATCGGGGCACCCAGCCTACCGACAGTGCTACCCACATCTGAGGCTGCTTCCCTGCCCCCCTTAGTTAAAGGTCTCTGGAAACACCATGGCAGATATACAGAAGTGTATGTTACTAATATCTTTGACTTTTCTCCAACGGTTGGCAGGGTAAACAAGGGGCATCCACTAATGCGGTAATTACTTAATGTACTTTGGGGTAGAAAGGTATGCAAACATAGACAAGCAGAAATTAAACCAGAAGCGGCCATTAATAATGCCTTTAAGTAACAGATTTCAAAGTCTACTTCCCGTGCTGTTTTCAGTAGCACGGTGTTAAGTATATAAATCTTTAGCTACCAAGCAAACCAACGCACACACTGGAAAATTCTAAATCACTGGATGGTCACCATCTCCAAACTTTGCTGATGCATTTGTAAAAACACGGTGCAATTACAGTTACAGTTCTACAATGAAGTACTGCACTGAAGAATTATAGTAACACATTCTGATCTAACAATAGTTCAAAGTGCAGAGATGGAGCCTAGATTCTAGATCTTCCCAGAAATAGCCACTGCCTTGGGGGGGGCATATATGTGCATATGAGGGGTGTGTGGCACGCTTGCTTGCACACAAGTGTAAGAAAGCCCTAAGTTGAATCTGGGCCTTTGCTCTCTACGTTTTTTCTTTTTTCTTTTCTTTTTTTTTTTTTAAAGATTTATTTTACCTTTTTTTCTTATTTTTTATTTACTTTATTTTATGTACACTGGTGTGAAGGTGTCAGATCCCCTGGAACTGGATGATCCCCTGGAACTGGATCTTCAGACAGTTGTGAGCTGCCATGTGGGTGCTGGGAACCGAACCCAGGTCCTCTGGAAGAACAGTCAGTGCTCTTAACTACTGAGCCATCTCTCCAGCCCCTTCTTTTTTTTTTAATATTTATTTATTCATTATGTATACAATATTCTGTCTGTGTGTATACCTGCAGGCCAGAAGAGGGCACCAGATCTCATTACAGATGGTTGTGATCCACCATGTGGTTGCTGGGAATTGAACTCAGGACCTTTGGAAGAGCAGGCAGTGCTCTTAACCTCTGAGCCATCTCTCCAGCCCCCTCTACGTTTTTTCCTTTTGAGATAAGGCCCTGGGCTCACTGATCTGGGGAGAAGGACTGGTCAGCAGACTTGTGGGATCTGCCTCTGTTCCCCCAGTTCTTATGTGGAGGCTGAAAACCCACACCCAGGTCCCCATGCTTAGACAGTAAGCACCGAGTCCACTATTGACAATGTCTTATTGTCGAAGGTCACGAATAGAGAGGAATGCAGGGTCTGCTGGTAAGGCCAGGGGTATATTATATGTGAGGCGCTGCGCTGGGCTCCAATCTGATCACTAAGGTTCATCTGTAGCCTGTGGTGCTACTGGGAGTCAGGAGAATTCTTCAGGAGACAATGTGGAAAGTGAGATTTTTTTTTTTTAAAATGAAACTGGAACTCATGAGAAAATGGCTTACCTGGCAAGTGAGGCACAGTTTACTTACTGGGGTGCTTTATCCTTTTATCCATTATTACTGAACCCCTACCCCTACCTCAGGAGACTTTTGCCAAACAAGTACCTTTGCTCAATGCCAACGCTGACTCTCTCTGGGGCATTATATACCAATATTTACTTTGGTGTTTTGGTGGTGAAGCGTGAACTCAGGGCTTCTCATATGCTATACACACATTATACTACTGCGACACACCCTGACTCCAACACATCCGCATTTGGAACTGACTGACAGTGTTACTTTTAGTTTTGCATTTTAAACAACACCTAATTTTCTTACTGCTAGGGCTGGGATCTTGAGTGATCTTAAAGACCCACATATTAAAGGTCTAGTCAGCAGCCTGTGGTGTTAGTGGGCGCTAAGGTCATCAGGAGGTGAAGACAAGGAGAAACTTAGGTCACTGGAGGCTTATCTTAAAGGGGGGAACAGGGACTCCGGGTCTGCTTTCTGCTGTCAAAATATGAACAAATCTTCTACTTATTACCTTAAAGTCTGCTCAACCACGTGTTCTTGCCAATATACACAGTGCCCACACAGGTTAAAAGAAACAGGGCCAAATGTGTATTGGCTAAAATCTATGACTCATAAGCCAAAATAAGCCTTCCCCTTATTAAACTGATTATCTAAGTAAGGTCTTTTGTCATAGCAAGAGGATGCTGATCAAGTTATAAAAATCATAGCTGCATTTACCTAGTGTTATGGTTACGACAGCCATGGTTTGAACTCTTGCTGCCCAAGGGCAGCCCTAGGGCCGGGTCTTTGAAGAGTCTACCCACCCCTGGTTCTGATGCTACTCTGCCTACTTCCTGGTTCTCTGCCAAGTGCACAGCTGCTGCCTCACAGGCCTGCCGCCATGTGTTCTCCAACAAGGAGGACTGAAATTCCTCTGAAATTGTGAGCCATAAACAAACACACACACACCAAACTCCTTCTTTCCCTCTGTCGAGTCAATCAACTGAGCTTCACACCTCGCTAGGAGATCATGCTGCGCCCCAACATCGAACAACTTTTACATTCCCTTATCCTTTTTC